AGGAAAAACCTCTCAGCCCTGGTACATCCAATTGAAGTTCGTCTTTTCCCATCTATGGACTTGATTTCCTTCCAACAGTGGTGTGCCAAAACTATACTCCAACTGTTGGTCTAACTAAAGATTCATACAGGTACTATTTTGCTTTTAATTCTATGCCCCTATTTATAAAAACTAGGATTCCATTAGTGTTTTCACTGCTTATCAAATTTCACTCCAACCTTTTAAACATTATGTATATTAACCATCAGATCCCTCTATTCTTCCACTCCTTTCAAAGTTTGCCACTACCAACACCACACACACACTTTTCAGTAGAGGTTCCCTTGAAAGTGATCAGGAGGGAGAGCCATGGCTGATTTTTGCCCTCACTCATCCTGACTGAGATCAGCAACTCAGCACATACTGAGATTGAACCTTTTAATCTTCCAGATGTGTATGGCTCAGTTTCACATGAAGTAGTGTCTTAATCAAATGAACTGTTAAGCGCAGGTAATGTTGCCAGCCCTCCTCTGAACACGTCTTTTACTGAACACGATTCTGTCATGAAACCTACAGTGAACACTTTGGCTCCTCACCAGAACAAGTGGGAAAGCTATAAAGAACTTTAATCACCACTCAACGAGAAGTATTTAGCTCACAGTATATAGCAGTTATATTTGCTAAAATTACAATTCTTTTTAAATTGATTTCAATACCTGACAAAGTATTATATTTCATGTTGAATCGCCTTCCTTTTGATATTAATTTTTTTTCTCAGGTGCTGACAGTATCACCATCCATGGTTGCACATTCAATCTTGGGGTCTTGTTCGACACTCAACTATTCTTTCTACCCCACATTCGCACCATGACCCGCTCTGTCTTCCCCCACCTCCACAACTTCTCCCAGCTCCAACACTGTCTCACACCGCAGGCCACCGAAACCCTCATACACGCCATCATTAAATCGAGGCTCGACCATACAAACTCACGGCCTCCCCAACCCCTCCCTCCACAGGCTGCAGATCATCCAGAACTCTGCAGCCCCTATCCTCTCCCGCACTAGGCTCCGTAACCCTATCACCCCCATCCTCGCCCAATTCCATTGGCTTGAACACAGTTCAAGATCCTGGTCCTCACCTTCAAAGCCCTCCATGGTCTTGCTCCCCACTACCTCTACGACTTCCTAACCCCCTACCATCCTGTTCGCTCCCTCCACTCGGCGGGCTCCAGCCTGCTTCACATCCCCCGCTCGCTCACTCCACTATCGGTGGGCGGGCCTTCCGCCACTCTGTGCCCACCCTCTGGAACTCCATTCCGAATTCCCTTCGTCTCGCCCCCTCCTTCGCCACCTTCAAGACCCACTTCAAGACCCTCCTCTTCGACCATGCTTTCGATCTCTCTGCTTCCCCCCCTGTCCTCCACCCTCCCCCACCCCGACCCTCACCTCGGGTCCGTAACTCTGTCTGTCCAGCACCTTGGGATGTCCTCCCAACATGAAAGGCACCATACAAATGTAATTTTGTTATTGTTGTCTTTGGAAAATTGATTTAATTGAACTTGTTACCATTAAACAACCAAGGTGGGGGATGTGGGATAATACTAAGGTTGGAGTGAGGCAAGATAAATGAAGCAGTGGACAGTCAACGCTGCGCTTGAGGTTTAAAGGACGGGAGAGTTTCCTCACGGCTCAGCTGTAGCAACATTACTGCCCACTGTGTAATTGAACCATGCAGCGCAGGTAAATGCCAAGGTTCCACTCCCATTCTGTCTATTGGCTGATCTCAAATGAGGCAGGATTAGAAGCACAAACTAGACAGAGCAAAAACAGCCATGGTACCTGCCCTGAACACTATCCTTTGTCCATTCTGGAAAGCGTGTGAAGCATTGGATAAGAATAGGATAGGGCTTAGCTGTGATATCCTCACACTCCACACCCCTAGCTGAATAGTCTCCTGACACTCACTGTCCGGGTTTACACATGAAGAATAGTTACTTTTACCCTTCCCCAACACCCAGACATTTGTATTTTCCAGCAGGGGTCATTGGACAAGTTACATGCTCTATTAAAGGTGGCGACCAGTTTTGGGAAGCGTTCCACAGGCAACAGCAACAAGCTGATTCTGTGACCAAGTGGGTATTCTTCATCTCAGCAACAACAACAACATTCCATTTATAGAGCGCCTTTCACGTCGGGAGGACGTCCCAAAGCGCTGGACAGTTGGGTCAGGACCAGAGCAGGGGGGAAATGGTCAGGGTGAGGGGAGCAACTTGCTAGTCTAAACTGGCCCCTTATTGGTTGTGGAACCCAGGGTATATCCTCCACCCACTTGATCTCTACGCTACGACTCTTCACTTTAACAAAAGAGAGTTCCATGATTTTATTTCTCAAGCTCAAAAACACAGAGGCCAATTGTAATAATGATCCTTGCATTTGATATAGCGTCTTATAATGTCACTGAGATGTCTCATAGCACTTCACAGAATACACAGTAAAATGAATTGACGGTGTATTTTGTGGGTGAAGCACAGCAGCCAATTGCCCATTTGTACACAGCCATGTCCCACAAATAGTCGTGAATTGAGTGACCAAATTATTATTATTTAAATTTTTTTGGGGGGGTTATTATCCCCGGAAAGCAATCTGCTAATCGACTAGCAACCGGGTTCCTACTTACTGCTAGGTAAAAAGGGCAGGTGGAGTAAGAAAACTTGCCTAAGGCTTCACCCTGCCCAGAATGAAACCCAAGTCCTCTCAATAACTCTACCATCATTGTTGCTGTCCAAGCTTGAGATCAACTATCTCAAAGATATCCAACAGACAAGAACGATACCAAGACACACAGCACCATTACAGTGAGGAGCTCCTCTATTGCCTCACTCAAAAGAAACTTTCGGACTAGCTGAGCAAGACAATGAGAGGCCACCAAACTGTTCTAGCCAAAGGCAAATGTGTTGTTCCGTTATTCATGTGCTTTCTAGTGTAATGCTGACTCTGTAATGCAACAGCATGCTACTAAATGCTACAAGCTAAAAGATATTTCTTGTTTGGTTGCTAAAAAGCATTGTTATGGGTCCACTCTAGCATTACTTATTCATGAGGACCCATTAATGACTGTAAAAAATAGAACAGGAGGGGTTACTCAATGCCCATCAAAAATAATAATACATGTATAATGATTTCTATTTTACTACTTGTGTCCTGTAAGTAGGTGACCATAAAACAATTGTTGGGTGTAACATCTTCCTCACATACAAACACATTCATGCTCCACTCCACTGGCCCTAAATGAAATAATTTCATTTGGAAACAGAAGTTAGCAGGATTGGGAATTAATTTTAAAGTTTTACAAGATTAAAGCGCTTCTCTTTCCAGCTCCCATATATTCATTTCCTCTTTCCTGAAGATAGAGGGGTGGAGGTGGGTATGGGGGGTTGGGGTCAATTTGGGGGTACGGTCAAGTGGTCAAGACACCTTCTGAATCCACATCGTCACCTGTGAGCCCTAAACAATAAATGGCTGAAGACTATTTCGACCATGGAGGGAGTTACAACCGGGCCAGATCCTGTCCTCGCCTGAGGTCCACACATAGCTCACTTTCCAGCAATAACCACTAGGTAATGATTGAGAGAGACGTGTCTAGCTCACGGAGGGAGAAGCCATCACCATGCTAGCTGAGATTAACTAACTCAAAACAGACTCGGGGTTTGTAACCTAGGACCGTTCAGGAGTCTGCACCTCACCAGGTGGGCCACTTACACATCAAGACAATACAGGAACTTGTTTTAAATGAAGTGTAAATTATATACGAAAAAATTACCTCGCTATGTAGCGAATATAACCAGAACATTTCTAGTCATAATTCCTGACTGCTTTCAGCATTGAGAAGCTCAATATGACAAGCTCAGAAAACTATTCAAATGCAGGGTGGGGGCAGAGGAGAGTGGGGGGACAGGGGAGGAGAGAGAAAGCATCATGTTGCCGAGTTTCCAAGCTGTTTCCCTGACGTTACTCCTTCACAGAATTAAATAAATCCCAAAAATGCTGCCAATCTCAAAGCAAGTCGAGAGAAAAACAGCCTCGCACTCAAAGCAGGTCTCTCTCTTTTCAGGTGCTGATTGACCTGCTGTGGATCTCCAGCATTTTCTGTTCCTAACACAGATTTCCGGCGAGTGCAGTTGCTTTCTTTATTTCTGCTCCTTCGCAGCATACTGCTGAAGTTTTCCAACCCTAAAATATTTGCTGGAGCCACATATGGGAGTTTTCAATGGCACTAGCCACTTCCTGTCAGTGCCAGAATAATTACAGCTGTGGACTTTGTTATTACACAGCTAAAAATTCATTACAAATGATGCTGCAGGACCAGCTTCTAATAAATCGTTCTTTCTCATAAGAAATTTTGTCTTAACAGGGTTCGAACACCATGGACTTTAATAGGGTCCAGCTGGGAGCAGGGAAACATTTATTATAATGGGAGGGTTGTAATAAGTGAATTTGTTATAATGAGGTAAGACTTTTTACTGTCACACGAGTAATTTGTCACATTTCACAAATCTTTCAAGTTACAAACTGAAATGCAACCAGCTATTTTTCCATTTATATAAGATATAAAATATATATATATATATAAATAAGGCAAATCAGTAGGATATTCTGGGAATGCTACATCTCTGGAAACAATGCAAATCAAGCAGAACTCAAGAGAAAGGAACTACAACAGAAAATAACCTCAGTACAAATGTGAACTCACTGATTTGAATGTAATCCATCGTCTAGAGTAAAGCATTTACAAAAAATAACACAAAAAACTACGGCTGAACCTGATAGGACTGGTATGGAGAAATGGAAAAAAATGTTGCATATGGGTGTATTATTTTTAGATGTCAGAATCAGTTAGCAGTTTCACCGATAGCCAGCAATAGAAACAAGTTAGTCCTTTATATATTAGAAGAATAGATCTGAGAGGACAAGTTGCTTTCTGTTTTTACAGCACCACATGGGAAAGACATTTCAACTCTTACCTGCACATGATCTCATGTGTCAGGAGCACTCGGCACATTTCAGGATTCTTGTCTTGACCCTCGTACACTATGGCCTGAAACAGAAAAGAAAGTGTTAACCCAATGGGTTTGAGTGCCCTCCTGCTTGTTTTACAGCAGATTTCATCATTAGAAATAACTGTAATAATGTTGATGTTCCATAATATTTTTCTCCCTTCACTTTTCTTTTCTCTCCCCTGAGAGAGAGTCTGATACATGCGAGGGAGCAGTAGCAAGTACCCAGGTTACTCTGCAGTCCCCTACCCAAGCTGATGGCCTTTCATGATAATAATAATAATCCTTGCATTTGATAATAGCATATCGTTGAGACATCTCAAAACGCTTCACAGAATATACTCTAAAATGAACCGACTGTTCTTCAACGTCAGCAGGAGCCCAGACAATGAGTGTAAGGAGGAAATTTGACCATAAAAATGCAATACAGCCATGTCCTCAGCCAGTGTCCACACATACACTTACAGTAAACTGCCTGGGGGATCCTGACTGACTGTGACCTGTTTAGCCCAGAAAACTCAGGCCATTTATATTGCCCCTAATGCCAATTTGGCTGATAACAATTAGCTCATCATTACCAAATTCTAAGAAAAATCAAGAGTTTCTGAATTAAAGTTTACACTACAGATAAGTCATACATTACTTGTCTAGGTGGAAATTAATTAATTACAGTGACGCAGATTTATTAATATATAACTGTTGGTATTAAATATTACAACCTCCCCAAGACAACGGAACACCGTTATGAAATAAAATGAATTATTTTGTTTCATTCCAGCTCCCTTATTGTTGATGTTGTTGCGATTTCCAACAATATTTAAAACGCTCACTGTTCCTATCCCCATCCTATTTATTTACGGATTTTGGTCAATGGGAAATCACATATTCACAATTCAAAACAAACCAAGAGAAATCTATCTTCCCCACTCCCTCAGGCCTTATGATATCCTAATGTTCTGTTACCATTCATCTGATTGACCTCATAGCCCCTGCAAAATAAATACTCCAACCTCGGCAATTCCCACTAAAGCTTTGGCTAAAAATTATTGAATTTCCACCATAATGACTCCAGAAGCTTAAAATTCCACCTGAGCTCATCCTATAAATCCATTTTGCCTTCATGCTTAGGATTGCACAGATTTGTGGAAAATTCTTAAAACACGGGTTTTTGTATCTTCTAAAAAGGACTGGAGTTTGCAAATGAACACCGAATTTAATATTTTCCCAAAACACTGCAAGAACGTAAAGGCAAAATGCTCTTACAAACTAAGATTAAATTGAATTTTGGGCCATGGGTTTAGAAACTGAAAGGGAAAAACAAGGTTCTAATAACAACAAACAACAAATTACATTTGTATAGCGTCTTTCACGTCGGGAGGACGTCCCAAGTGTCAATAAAGAGTATTATTCGAAAGATTACCTTTTGAGACTGATATAACTGTCATGTATTCCCAACGTTTTGTTTTTTTATTTTATATTTCTAGTGCTTTGTGGCCTTTTCCCCCCTCTTTTGCATCCAAAAGGCTTTTGTTATTTTTGAACTGAGAAATTCAGGCCCCATTTCCATGAGGGAAATAATTAAGCGCTGTGGATGCTTGGAAACAATGCATTTTCTTACAACTGCAGCAGCCTTTCTAAAAGGATCACATCAAACATGGCAAACAAAGAGCAAATAATAAGATTTTTACTGATATTAAAAGTATTTAATGTGCAGAGGTTGGGAGTATAATATGCAAATTATTTATCAGTAGTTCAAGATGCCTGGCTGATACTATTAACTGTTTCGGATGGACACTGTGATGGGCCTTGGATGCATCAAAATATTCCACATACCAGACAATGCACAAGTAAGCTATAACTTCATACCATCTAAGAAATAAGACCTTCACTGCTATTTCACATAAATATTCCAACACAAATCATTTTAGCATATTAGACTATAGCAACGACTGAAAGATGCTGAACTCTGACACACAGGCCCCTGTGTACCCTATATGAACACAAAACACAGGCAAACTATAAAAAGCCTGCAAATAGAGGAAAGGTTGCAGGTAAATTATTTCAGAAAAAAAGTGTTTCATGAACCACTTTGCAGCTATTGATCATTATGAAATGGCTATCATATTATAAGTAATATGCACAATAGTGAACTCAATCCAACTCTTCATAATTGCCATATTATTCCTAGTCATACAATTACCCTGTGATGCACTATAGGTAACCTCATGTATTTTCCATAATACTTACAGCTCCATAAATAATGGTCCAAAATAGAAATCCAATATAGGATGCTCATTACAAGGCTCACTAATTTCATGTTAATTTATTTCCACATTTGGGGGAAATTTCCCTTGGCAATGTATGCTGTGCCACGTCCTACAGTTCCCAAAGAACTATAGTCGGTTCATATTTATTTTACAATATAGCTTAGAAGATGATGTGTGCATATCACAATCATTAAATCAGGCTGGTGAGAGATGTTGTTTAGGAGAGAGAAAAAAACAACGTTACGGTGCGGGAAGTGTGTGGCTGGAAAATCGAGTGAACATAGTGGAAAATGTGTAGTGTTGACCGTGTTTAGTGGAGACAAAGCTGAGCTGAGCTGAGCAGGAATGGGGAGGCAGATTTGGAGAGATTCTCACAGACAGATGGCTGGCTGTGCTCAGTATGCCAACCCAACTGCTCTCCTGTTGTACAGCCATGTGTTTATTGTTGTTTCCGCTAGATGTGTTTTCGTGTGAAAGCTTAACCTCTTTCCCTTTATAAACACACAGAGAGAGAGAGAGAGAGAGAGACAGAGAGAAAGAGAATCCGCCATAAGGAAATAAAAAAGAGAGCTAACCAAAGCCCAACATATTTCCGTCTTGATGTTTTTTTTTAAATGGTGTATCATTTTTTAAAATGATATATTTTTTAAATAATTTCTGCATCCTGCATTTTGCACGTATTACATTTTACAGACACATAATACGGTATTAGATAGCCATCAAACGTGGTTTAAAACTGCCGGTGGGAAAGGGAAACGACGCTGAACGTGTTGGATTGTTTTGCCAGGACTTGGATTTTATTTTATTTCTCAAAAAAAAAATATAATAAGAAAAAATTTTAAAAAATTGGAAGCGGTAAATAAATAGCGCCTTGTTACACAGACTGCAGTGAACATATACTTTAAATAAATATATATACGGTGTGTGTGTGTATATATATATATATATATCAGGGGAGGGGGACACACACTTGATCCGAGTAGGGTTTTGTGTGAGAGTTACTGTGGACAAACTGTTGAGACGCTTCTGATAGTGGCGCTGTGTACGTTTGCAAAAGGGACTCAGACAATAAACAGGAGCTGGAGCTCACCAGAAGTTTGATGAGCTCTGATAACGTGAAGCCGTCAGAGGTCAAACAGCCTCAGGAAGAAGCACTGACTTCAGTCTCTTTTTTAAAAAAAAAATCAAAAAAAGAACCTCCCCGACATCCCAGGAGAGGCTTTCCTGCTCCTCCACTGCCCCCTCCACCCACTGCCCAATGCTGGTCAGGTCCCACAATAACACGCACTCTGTGTTCAGGGCTGTAGTGGGGGTGGGGGGGGGGGCTTTCGTGTTAAAATATTAGTCTGGAGGCTACAAGGAAAGATTTGTAACTAAAACTATATTTCTGTGTAAATTGCACAAAAAGTTAACACCTGTTAGACCGACGCGCGTACAACCTTCTGCTATGTACAGTATATGCTCGCAATGTGCACGTTATTATCATTGTCATTATTATTATTATTATTAACGTTTAAATGTTGTGGGTGTCTGGAATAAAATGTGGTGGATTTTATTGGTCACTATAGTTGATAAGTGTAAGAAGTGTGAGCGATTGTTGGAAGTCCTGTCTGGGATGGCTCAGTGCTCTGTGGGCAGTTTCCCTCTCTCTCTGCTTCAATCGCAGGAAACAGCGTTTAAAAAGAATATCAAAGAACTGGGGAGATATTTTCATAACAAAGTTGTCTGTTGATGTTATGGGTTCTTCCGCACGGGAAGCGAGATACATCAAAACCCAAACGTGGCGGGGAAGCGATGATGCTTTTTTCTTTTTTTTTAAAAAAAATGTTTATGCATTTGAAAATAAATCAGCTTTGCTGTCAGTGTTAAAGGGGAGTGCGCGGTTTGCGTGTGTCTTAAGTTCACCAAACATTTTAACAAAGAGACGAAATATAGCCCCACATTTAATTACCATTAACGGTGCCTCCCTTTCTGGTCTTATTGTATTCTTCGCAAGCGACACAGGAGAGTAAAAACTGTTTATATTTTAGTGGACTGTGGGAAGTTCCCCCCCCCCCCCCCCCCACACACACACACACACACCCCCCCAAAAAAAAAGAAACATTTACTTTCATATCAGAATACACTATTTAATCTGAACTCAAAATAATATGAAAGCAACATCGCGTTTAATGCAGAGATTGTCTTATTAAAATGAACAGCGGGACCGCAGAATCACAACTCCTCTCGTCTGTCTGCGCTGAATCACATTCATTCACTTGGGGGGTGTTTCCCCCCAAAAAAAATAATAATTTGCTTTTGGAAAGTTATTTTATATTTACAAAGCGGGCAGTTCGTTGAATTTGACGGGAATTGGTTTGACGGAATGATTTATATACATATATATATATTTACATCTCCATATACACACATATATATATATATATTTGTGGAAACAATTAGCATTCTTTAAACTTACAATTTTCCGTAACAGTTGCTTTGTGGAAAGAATACCACAGCGAAGAGCGGCGGAAATAAATGCGACAAACATACAGAATAGGGCTGATCCCAATGGTCTGAGAGAGGGACCTTCTGGCGTTCACCACTGACACGAGTGAAATACAGTCGGACGCGTCTCAAGTTTGCCATTTCCCCTCAAACACAAATAAACACGAATAAAACCCGCTTCTCTCTGCAAAGGTCTGGACAACACCTTATTCGAGGAATTCTTTGCGTTTTTCCACTATTCCCTCTCAATCCTAAAGAGTATTATTCAGCGCACGTTGGCGTTTGGCACATTTTTTTGTGTGTTGAAAAAAATAAAATGTCAAGTTCTTCTAAATGTCTAATTCCGTGCAGTTCCGCCTTCCGCAAACTTTCTATTTTTGAGGGTTTGAGGGGGGTGGGGGGGTGGGGGGGAGGGGGGTGGGGGGGAGGGGGTGGGGGGGAGGGGAAGAGATCACAACTACACCAATAACCTGATTTTTTGTGTGTTTTGTTTAATTTTAAAAAAAACGACTTCCTCAAAACAGAAATGCTGAAGTCATTTCGGTTTCTGGCATCACCTCGAGTCGATTCTAACTTCTAAAGTTTGCTGTGGGTAAAGTCCCCACAGCTTCAGCTCAGCAGTGATCCCATCAGTAACTACAATTAGTATTACGACCCCTTTTTTCCCCCTTTTTATACCCGACATATTGTAACCCCGTCTCCCAGTACCTGTAGCTCACAGAGCTCCTCGGGACGAGATTAAAATCCGTTTGCTGTGACACTTCGGAAACAGATATTTTTCCCCCCCCACAACCACAAAAAAAAACACATTTTTTTTTGAAGAGGAATGAATAAAGAGTTCTTACCTGTTTGGTCATGGAGTCGATCAGTCGCACATACAAGTCTTGCTCAGTCCTTATTCCTACGCATCGGGATATTTTTTTAACAAAAAGAAATGAAAATATATATTGTCAGTATTAATTAGGCCCGAGCTGTTCCAGACTAACCTACAACATGTTTGTGATATTTCTATGTCGTGTTGAAATGTACCCTCCATTGCAAGACAGTGAGAAGGCTGAACCTGACAGAATTAGTGAGGAAAATGGAACAACGTTTGAGCAGAGCTCGGGGTGAGGCGGGACATCGGTGTGAGTGGTCTGTGCACTGGAAAAGGACAATTTAAAGGCAGTTAACGGCGCTTATTGGAGTTAACGCTGCAATATCTGCCCCTGAGAGCGGGGTCTGCAGTGCTGTGTGATGGGCGAGAGAGCTCACCAGCTGCTGCCAGTCATTCAAACCCGGGCTCGTTAGACATTTTTCAGGGGAATAGACACAACACAACACGGCGCCGATCTGGGGGTGGGGGGTGGGGGGGAGTGTGTGTGTGGGGGGGGGTTCGAAGTCAGTGTGAGAAAAGTTAGACGGTTGTCTCAGATCAGAGTATCGCGGAGTAGCGCAGGTGATAGAGACAAATACCCAACGTTATATATATATTATATATATATGACCGCGCACAGCTTCGGGTCAGGAGTTTTGCCTTATATGTTCGTTTTTTTGCTTAAAACAAAGACTTGACTTCAGTGAGAAGTCTGGATGTCGAGTCTCTTTCTCTCGGCACTTGTGACACAGGCGATAAGAGGCGACTCACCGTTACTGTACAGCAGCTGCAATCTGTAATGAATCCCATTATTGGTCTTTTCGGTGCTGATTTCCTGAAATGGCATTAAAATATTAGGGGAAAAAAACCGCAAATCGTCTTTTAACCCCCACCCCCCACCCCCCAACGTGTTAAACAAACCCATAACAGTAACTGCCCCGACTTTAAACACTCGCAGACACGAGCGTGTGCGACCGCCAGCGACAGCCCGACTCGCCCCCAAAGTTTTGTGTGATTTATTCGTGGTTTGCAATCCGCAAAGTCTGTGCAGACTCACACCTTGTTTGCGGAGGTGAGTCGGACCGACGTGCCCCCCGGGGGTAGTGTGCAGCACTCGCTGTCCTCGCGTGGAAAGGTTTTCACGGTGAAAGGTTTCACGGGGGTGTGTGGGGGGGGGGTGTGGGGGGGAGGCAGAAAAGTCACTATTATGTCAATAAATAGGGTTGCGAATATAGGGTTTGTTTTGAAGGCGATTTGGGGGAACCATTCGCCCCGCGGGAGTGAGCTCAGATCGCCTCCGACAACCTCTCCGCTCTCTTTTACGCGCACAATATCCACATCCCCCCCACAAAAAAAAAAGTTTCTTTTCGGCAAAAGCGAAGTCGACGCTCACCTTTTCCTTCTCGACGAAGCCCACGAAGGCTGTCCTCTCTATCTCCACGGGCTGCCCCTGACGGTCGTACAGAGCGAGGACAAAGTGGAAGAAGTTGGACTTGCGGAGGTTGGACGGCGGCTGCTTCTCGAAGTGAGCCCGAGCCAAACCCACCCCACTGCGGGCACAGAGAGCGACACGAGCCGGTCAGCGCCTGACCCCACAGCCACAGCCACAGCCACAGCCCCCGCTTCCCATCAGCTTCGGCGGTGCATTCCCACCTCCAGTGTACAGCTCCCGGGTATTCACCCCCCGGGCTCCTTTTTTTTTGCTGCCGTTTATGGCCACTGATCCCCCACCGAACTTTTATTTACAATTCAAAACGCAGCGCCGAGGGTTCCGCACTGTCCGGGACTTTGCGGCCAAAACGCAATCATCAAATGTTCGCGTTTCGCATCGGTTGCGCTCAAACTTCTGCTGTGCTCCACTCGCGTGGATTAAGTCTTTAAAAGTCCCGGCGTTATAAGTTTCTTATTAGGGCTTAAAGGCGAACGTGTTTAGAGTGAGATAACCCGCAGTCGAGTTTCCCAAAAGTTTGGCTCACGTTATTCGGATATGTCCCTGACAGCTTAAAGGGAGTCAGTCGACAAAACACCGGCAACTCCATATATAATATTATATGCGGTCGCGATGGTTTCAGACAGAATATCACCTGGAGTGGGGTTGCCAGTGGCTCAGAAGATAACTGTAAGTCGCGCAAGAGAAGTGGTTTAAACAGATGTCAGCTCAAATCCACCCTGTATGTGGCTTCGTTTGACTTGCAAATCGATATTGCACCAAAACCCGCGTTGTAATATTTTGTTGGTTTTTTTTTGCTTTTTTAAGGAAAAAGAGAGTAAAAGTCGTGCCTTACCTCTGAGCGGCCGTATTTGCATCCAACACCCCGGCTCCTTGCATCCAAGAGCGGACAGTGTTGATCCCACTCCCTATAGGTTCTTCCTTCATACTGCTCCCACTTCTTTGTATATTTTCCTGAATCCCAAACATGAAAACAAGCTGTTTTTTCCCCCTTTTCTCTCTCTCTCTCTCTCTCCTTCTTTCTCTCCCTTTCCCCCCCCCACTCTTTTCTTCCAAGAGAAAAAAACCCCACCAGACACGTTAAGTAAGACGTTGAATGCAGCTTTTCTTTTCGGTCAGTCAAGTCAAGGATCCGGTAGCAAATACCAACCCCCCCCCCCAAAAAAAAAACAGACTCTAGTGATAATAATGATCGGTTGGGGTAGGGGGTGGGGGGGTAGGTAGCGGTTTACAGTTGAAGGGAGAACAGAGAGAGGCAAAGGGAGAAAAAAAGGGGCAGAGAAACAGATACACGCAACTCAAAGCTCGTGTTTGGATAAACAAAATATCCCACACCCTCCCCCTTTTTAAAAAAAAAGCAGAGGGGGGAAAAAAAATGCTGCTGGGAATTTTTTAGACGCACGAAGAGATCAAGTCGAGTTACTGGGCTTTGTAAACCCAAGTGTCATCGTCCAATAAGAAAGAGTAAGTTTATTTTCTCTCTCTCTCTCTCTCTCTCTGTGTGTGTGTGTGTGTGTGTGTTCAGAATCGATGCTGTCTGCTGGTCCCGGCGAATGAATGAGAACTGTTGAGCTGAGAGGTGTTCCCTTGTGGATGATGCTGTTTCTCTCTCTCTCTCTCTTTGAGTGGTGGTGGGGGGGGGGGTGAGGGGAGGGTGGTTGTGGGGGGGGTGGGGGGGGTGTGTGTGTTCTCTTGGGGTGGTTAGAGAGGAGGGAGAGGGGAGGAACAGAAGAGGGCGGGCGGATGGGAAAGAGGGTGGGAATCAGCGATGGGAACAGTGTCCCGCAGGAATGAATCCACGTTACCTTTCCCCGGAGTCACGCTCTCTCCTCTCTCTCTCTCCCTCTCTCTCTCCCCCCCCCCACACACACACACCCCCCACTTTCCCCTCCTCCTCCTCGGGCGCTAAAGTGACGCAGACCCCCGAATGGGGTCTGAAAGGAGGGGAGAGGGTGGGCTCTGAGTACCGAATATGGTCAAAACCCGCCTTTCGCTAAGCCAATGGTAACGCCATCCGACTGAGACGGACAGACCGGTCTGACAATGGGCTTAAAGGAGGTTTTGTTTTTGCTTTCAATATTTGACACAATAAAACGTGAAGGTGCAATTTATCCCACAAACCTATTACAATCTTCACCCTTTTATTTATCTTTTCGGTATTCAAACGCACACGTTCCCCAATTGTGGTGGACATTTACATGGTCACCAGTTTTTACATGAATTGGGAACATTTATTTATTGATTGATTGATGTATTGATTGATTGATTGATTGATTTATTCATGCATTTATTGAGCCACAGAAGCACTGGCGTCTTTTGAGGTTATTAGTTTCTACAACAACAACAAAAATATCCCCCACCCCCCCACCCCCCCCCAGGTCACTGGGGTTCATTTTATTCTAAGGAGAGAGCGACAGCTAAACCTCTCTAACAACCCGCCTGTGGCTCACGGTTTGATGTTCCCAGAATTGCACTGATCCGGCAGTTTTAGACGTGTTTTCCAATCGCTTTTACACTAACGCACATAATATCTATCTTAGCACAAGTTTATCTATCTATTCGCTTTAACATTTTGGGACACTCTTTGAAATAAAACTCCTCACATAATTATAAAGGTCCGGTTACATCTTTTTTAAAAATATATAGGTTTAAAACCACAAGGTTTCCAATGGTTATAACGTTTCCTTTAGGCCTGGGGATATGTGACTTGAAATGAAAAGGTGAGGAGCCTCTCGGGCACTGGTTTGTTGGGTGGGGAGTCTGCTGATGGAGAATGTATGTGGGGTTGTTGGTCGCTGCTGCATATCTCACAGCTTTGAGTGTATTTGGCGACTCGATGCAGAACTCCTTAAAGAGTAATTCATAAAGTGGATAAATGATGCTCTCACATGTATAACGGTGTGGATCTCTTTAATTCTCTCATAAATCATAGATCTTTATTGCAGATAGGCAGTGGCAGTGGCAGTGGCAGGCGGGGGAGGTTTTAGTTGGGGTTTTGCTCTTTGTGTGTAAAATCCACCCAACGCACGAACCGCAGTTTCAGATCGACTTTCTCTGTGTGGTTTTTCACTCATTCACTGCTCTTCGGGGTGTGTTCCGCGCAGTATAAATACAAACACAACAGGTAGCCTTCTCGGTGTGAGCTGTGCTGATATTAACACTGTCCAGTCTGAGCACAGCCCACACTGGAAACTGACCCCTCTGTCTGACACCAGGCGCTCAGGCGCTCGCAACTCGGGCTCTCAGTCCAGGTGTCGAGTTTCTCCTCTTGTTAATAGCTTCGTTTTTTTTTATCCACTGGGACAGTGCAGTGCTTCCACACGGTTTAAATCATTTCACATCACACAACTCGCGGAAAATAACGCGCCCCTATAGATTGCAGCTACAAACAGATTTTCTCCCTGACTCCAGGAAAACAAACCCACAGCGATATTCTGCACAAGCACCAAAAGCCGTGATATGGATACTGACTGCACTGACTTCCAGCATCTTTTTACAATAATATAAACAAGCGAGTCCAGAGTTTCTTTCTGTAGCTGTTGAATCGAATGTTTTGTGTTATTATTTAGGTCAGAAGGTAAGAGAACTGAATACAAGTGATTATAACATAATCAGAGAGGTTAGGCTCTGGCTATTGGAAAGACCCTTTCCCATGCAGGACATGGGACACTGCCCAGGTAACTATATCCCTCATTGCCTCCGTCTCCTCTGGGATGAGAGGACGATATGTTTTTGTATAGAGCCGTGGTGATTAATGCAATGTTGGTAAAGAAAAGGCGATGCGATTTAAATACGCCATGTGTGCTAAAAAAGAAAGAAAGATGCTTTAACGAGCCGAGAAAGCAGGAATATCGATTTGTATTCAACACGAAGGGACTCCTGGACTAGCCGACCGACCGCAAGCAGGGTTGTGAAATAAAAATGACTATAATTGAAGTCACTTAAAAAAACGAAAACATTTCAGTTGTGAAACATGGAACATACCGTGTGCTGGTTTTGTTGAATGAAATTCACTGTGTGTTTTCACACCTCCCCTGTCTATGTTCAGCACATCTTGCTAATTTGAGAATAGTAATGAAGACTGCGAGGTGTTAGTCACGACATGGAGTGTTACAAACTATTAAATATTGTCAAACCGCAGGATAAACACAGCGGGCATGGGTCTAATTTATTTTACATATATTCTGGGGGTAGATCATTTTGATTAAAGACTTTTTTTTTGCTGCAATCGTTTGCAAAGCGTTTCAGAGATCAGCGGATTGCAGGGACATTGCCCCAGCCTTTCCTTCTCTTTGTACCCACGTCTGGAGGAATGAGCGGTCGACTCTTTTCTTTAATATAGGCTTTAAATTAATGACCATATACACCGATGCAAGAGAAACGCTTATTTGAGTTTTATAGGGTTTTTTTAATGTATAAATGTCCCAATCCGAATTATATAAGCGGGCGACGTCTCCTGAGGAACAGTATTGAACAAAGTCATGCTTTTAATCCAAGGGTTTGGAATAAGTCTATGCTTTTCAAATAAAAGCTGTCGTCCCTTCTGGAATGTTGTTATAGACATTTAACTTAATATTTGTCCTAATGCGCCTGTGTTTAGAGACAGAAAGAGCGAGAGAGTGTGACCGGGGGTGGAGAGGATTAACTCAATATTGCAAAATAAATACTACTGTACTTTATAACTATATTCCCAACAATGTATTAATTTAATGAAGAGTTCTGTACAATAGTATTCAAGAGAGTGGACTCCAATGGATTTAAAAAAGAATGTAACCGTTCTTTTTTTTTAAAAAATGAATGACTGTTTCTAATTAGATCTAATATTTGGTCATACCCGAAGTTATTGCTGTGTGTTTATCTGCACGATTCAAAGGGAATAAAACTCTGGCGAGTGGTTCATTACAGGTAAAAGCAAGGACTCTATAAATCTCTGCCTTGTGTGTTCTTGTGATTCTTATTACAGATGCCCGACCTCTGCTGGGTTTTATTCCACTGGCCAAAGGAAAAATCCAATTCGCAAATATTCTCCCAGGAGTGGGGTTGTCAAGGCAGCCGGCTATCTGCAGTTTAAGGACGAAATCAAATATGTTAAGGGGTTGATGGTGGTGGGGGGGTGGGGGGTGGGGGGGATCATCTGATCCAGAAAGGAATGATTTTGGAAAAAAATTCCAAACCGCATCGCATTTATTGCACTTATTCCCAAACGATTGCAGTGTTTTTATTGTGGTGCCCGGTGAGGAGGCTTTGGCTCCAGGGGTCGCCGTCTGATGTGGGAATGTGTTCCCGTTCGGAGAGATAACGGAATCCTCTCAAATTGCAGTTTGCGGACCTCAGTGAAGTGGAGGCGTTAGAGAGCTGCCCTTCAGTGTCTTCATTATATATATATACACACACATATATAATATGTGTATATGTGTGTGTGTGTGTGTATATATGTGTGTGTGTGTGTGTGTGTGTATATATGTTTGTGCGTGTACATGTGTGCGTGTGTATATATGTGTGTGTGTATATATGTGTGTGTGTGTATATGTTTGTGCGTGTACATATGTCTGTGTGTGTATATGTGTGTGTATGTATGTCTATATATGTATATATTGCATTGGAACAGTTAAAACGCGTGAATGCGTTTTCGTTGCGTGTGAGAGTTTAGGTTTTTTAGGGGAATAAAACATTGTGTCCTGGAGCGGCACCACATGTTATAGAGTCCAGCGATCGATTCATTTAATTTTTAATGAAATCTGATTCTTTCATGCGCATTCTTGGCAAATGTTGGATTTCGATTTTTTTGGTGATACACCTAAAACAGTTTACACACATAAGAGCGTGACAGATGGTCAAAGCCCTTTCCTTTAAGAAACGCACTCCAGATTATATAGGGAAAGTTTCTTCAACACAAAGTATTGTGTTTGGGAAAATTTGCTAATTTCAACAAAGTGCACAAATATATTGTATGATGGACACGAGAGGTGAAAGTAGTTACGAGAGAGAGAGAGAGAAAGCGGACGAAAGGAGAGGGAAAGAACGTGGAAATGCAAAAATAAAGAGATAATTAGAGAGACAATTCAATCAGTACAGAGAGAAACGGGAGAGTGGGAGGTATGAAGTTCAGAATGAAGGGGTTAGAGAAAAGTGGAGGAAACAAATCAAGGACAGGAAAATGGGAAGATTAAGAGCAAAGGAGAAAGAAAATGAGGTCGTTGCACATAAATAGAGAGCGAAAGAGAGAGAGGGAGTGAGAGAAAGAGCGCAGCGCAAGAGAGAAGGGAAAAAAAACACAGCCAAAATGTCAGCAAATCACATTCTGTGCGACAGTGCACCATCTAGTGCTGAGTGTGAGTGAGTGTGAGTGTGTGTGAGTGTGTAAGTGGAGGGGAATCTGACTCCGCAATTATCCTGGACACCAAAAAACTCATTCCAAGGCTTTGGGTTTATTATCTCCCGAACCATCAGCCATTATATCTGGACGTGATAAGATTAAAGCGCGTCGTGAAGAAGGAAATATTTGATAAAAATCAAGATGACATGACTTCGTTTTGACGTCAGTGTTGATATCTACAAGGCAAGGTCATGGCGTTAATTCGGGATCGTTG